AGGGCACCGCGTGCGTCGATGGTCAGCGTGTGGGGGATGTGCCGTGTGTATTGGGGAATGGTGATTCGAAAGAGATATCGCACTTCTACATTGGAGGGGATGGAGGCAACGCGGACGACAAGAAAAGCCGTGAATTCGTGTCTGTGACTGTGACAAACGTCCTGCAGTACAACCGTCCATTGAGTTCCGCAGAGATTACTGCGCTTAACAAGAACAAACCTTCTACTCCAAGGACAGTGGCTGATGGGAAAGAATTGGTGGTGGTTGCTTCTCCACCAGGGGTAAGTGTACCAGCTCCACGTGGAACCGTGCCTCAGTCTGCTCTTGGAGGAAATCAGCCGATGGCACAGGAATTGTTGAAAGAAGGTACGGACGGTGGTGGTGCATCCACAACAGCATTGTCCACCGTAACGACTTCCCCAGCAGGCAAGGAGTCCGTAGACCTGTTGGCATCAGGAACATCTCCCGATGGAACTCAAGCCGTGGATGGGGTCTCCTCGTCTGATGGCAACCAGACGGTGGACACAGCAGACGGAGGTAAAACGCAGGAAGATGAACCACACAAAACTCCTGCGGATAATGCAAACGCAGCAGATGCAAAAGCGCCTAACTCTGAGGGTGGGTTGCAAGATGGATTCGCAGTGGGACCTGAGAGGACCTCTGGTGAGGATGGGGAGACGGCGGGAGGAACGGATGGGCAGGAGGAGGAAGGGATCCAGCCACGGATCAGGGAGGTAAATGCCACGGCGCTCAGCAGCAGTCTCGGAAATGTGTGTCGCAGGGGAATAACAGCGATGCCGGCACCGTGCGTGAGTGCGGACTGCTGCCATCGCTTCTTCTGTTGGGACTGTGGGGGTTTGCCGCTCTGTGAGGAGTGACTGGCTGCCGCGTGGGACACTTGCGACCTCCGCTGCACCGACACACACACACACACCTGGCAATGAATATCTCTTCTCAAATAACTCTTATTTACTTTTTTCCCTGTTTGCTTTTTTGTGTGTTTTAAAGTTTTTTTTTTTGCTTTTTTTAAATGTTTTTCTTTTTTTAAAAATTCTTTTATTATTATTATTCTTCTCTTCCCTCCTTTAATTGTTTGTTGCTGCACTCTTCCTGTGAGGGGTGCCGTGTGTTTCCGCCCAACTGCTCCACTCGCACACCACCGACACGCTCATGACGACGGCCCTGTGCGCCTCGCCTGCTGCACGCATGAGGAGGGGCCGCGACGAACGGCGCGCTGAGGGAGCCGTGACGTGTGGGCGTGCGACGAGGGCCTGTGGGGCGGAGCACACATTTCTTTCCCTCTTGTTTTGTTTTCTTTGCGGCCAGGGCTGGCAGACACCCGCAGCGCCACACACACAGCCACACCCTGCCGCCGTGTTTTTTTTTGTTTTGTTTTTTTGTGGATGGTGTGTGCTGCCACGGTGCGTGGTTGTTGAGGTCTGGCCGTACCGCATGTATCGCTGCCGTCCAGCTGTGCCTCTTGCTGTGCTGATGTGTTTCCTTTTCTTTTTTCTCAGCACACACACACACAAGCATTTGCACAGTGCTCTGCAGGAATGCTCTTGGCGACGGCGGGGCGTCGAATTGCGTATCCCGTGCTGAAATGGCGAGGTTGCCGCGTGTCTGCCTACGGTGGGATCACGGGGCCGTTGTATGGATGCGTGTGGGACGCCTCCTTTTCATTTGGTTGGATTTCGTCTGACGCGGCTGCACGATGCCCGCCATGCGTGAGGGTGTTGCCTGCTCTTGGGGTCATTCTTCTCTCCCCTATTTATTTGCTCTGCCGGGCGCGTGTGTTGCTCTTTGTGTGCTGACGCGTGGCGGACGGTGCCACGATAGCCTCCTCTGACGATGACAGTCGCTGTGCTCTCGGCACACATCCACACACACTTCCTTGTCTCTTTGTGTGGGAGTGATTGCGGCAGGGCATTGCTGCGAGCGTGATGGGGACCACGACGGCGTTACCCCTCGAGAAGGTCCCACGCCCTGTCGGTTGTGGAGAGCGGCGAGGCGGTTTGCCTGCAGCCCGACTGACAGAACCGCACAGTCGTCGTTTCATTGTGGTCACTCCGTCGGCATCACCCGCCGCGGTGGTGTCCGCAGGAGCCGCAGCCTCGATGAGGATGGCCTCGTAGTTTTCTGGCAGCTCATACCTTCATGCCCTTCGCCCCTCAGGATTGCCCTTGCTGCTCGACTGTAGCAGCACCGGCCTGGCATGGTTCTTCTCCACGAGTGCAGGCACCACAGTGCCCCAGCGACGAGGCTCATTGGCTGCAGTGACCTCCACCAGGCCTGCAGTGGGCGTACCGGTGGCGTGGCCTTCTTGGTGCGCCACACCTTGCCGTGCGAGCGCCTGTCGCTCGTGGCACCAACTGCGTGGAGACCACCGCCTTCCGCGTGTGCCCACCGGCCAGCCCCAGCATGTACGTGGTGAACCTCTGCAGCCTCACTTTGGCAATTTCACACGTAGCTCACTTTGCGAGCACCATTCTTCGCTTATGCCCCGCTGCGGTTATTTGCGACCTGAATTCACACCATGAGCTGCGGGACGGTCGCTCACCATCCACGACGGCAGGAGAGGACCTCGCCGCCACCCCAAGCGGCATGGACTCTGAGCTGTCCGACGATTCGGCACGGGCAACGCGGATCAGCGGCCGCAGCGTCTCGTTTCCCGAAGTGACTGCGCAACTCGTACTGCGTGTCTTCCACTGGACGTCCACCCGTTTACATGGACTCGGACCACCCTCTGGTATTGCAGACTGCGGGGACGGAGGACGGCATCCCGCAACTGGCAGGCATGCTGCCACTATGGAAACATGCTGTCTTTTCCCTGCGTGAAGCTGACTGGAATGCATCCACCTCGGCGTGTGCAACACCTCTGGCCTCTGTGATCACATGGTTGGAGATGCACCGAGGCACCGTACGAGCGGCAAGGCGCACCACACCGCGCGGCAGCCGTGAAAGCTCCAGAGGTATTAGTGCGGACGGAATGGAGCAGGCCGAGTGTTGCAACGGCAGCATGCAGTGTGTACACAGCCTCACCAGGAGGCAGCCTGCCCCGAGCTGAAGTGCTCTGCAAACGGGAGGACCGCAGTCATGCCCTCCGCGGTGGCTTCTCCATGCAGCTAAGAGGTCCGTGCGAAGCAGCTTGGTGCCCTCTCGAGCCCAGGCCTGTGATGTTCCGAGGCATGGCGGCACCACGTCCCCGTTCACTGGGATCGGCTGTGCTGCGGTACTCTTGGGACTGCGACTTCGCTCCGCCTCGGCAGCAGGCACACCGCGCGTCCGTCACACTGTCCGAGTCGCACGTGCTACGATCCCCACTGCTTTCTGCACACTTTGTGCTCGCGTGCTTCCCTGTGACTGAGATATGGATTTTCTCTTCACGCCGTGTGCGCTTGACTCGCCATCCGCGACTCTTTGCATGGCGTGGCACCTGGTCCCGACAAAATATTGGATGCGTTTCTGCACCATCTTGCACCTTCTGCCCGCTGCTCGCACTGAACGATGACCAACACCTCTCTGACGGCAGCCTGCGAAATTCCTAGGAAACGGCGGAAACCACTCCCATCCGCAACCACGGGAAGGACACATGCCGCACAGAGAGAGTTGTCGGCAAATCCCGCTGCTCTCTGCCCTGCTAGGGGTGAGCCATGGACTGGTCCACCGCCGCCTGTCAGCACTGCTGGCACACCACCGATTTCAGCCTGGATCCACGCCACGAAGCATGAACTCGGACGTGATGACGCCTGTTGGAGACGAAACGGCACGAGGGCTGAGCGATGCATCGCCGCGGAGTGCAAACTTTTCAGGTCAATACCGAAAATGTCAAGCGTATCAACGAGCAAAAAACGGACAAAGCACCTCTGCAAGCTCCAATGACAGCCATAGCCCTCCAGCCACTCCGCTACTGCAACCACCACCAGCCGCTCAGCCGCCTGACGGTCCACGGGAGGCCCTGCCGCACATGCTGTGGGATAACCCCTCTCGCACGATAGCACCGTTCGGGACGGAGAATTAGGCCACGTTTCTACGGACAGTCCTCGGCCTATCAACGGATAGTGGCCGCAACGTATAACAAAAAGAAAACTTTCCCTATTCTCAGTAGAAAAAAACGTCATCGTTACAGTCACAATTATCGCCCAATGAATTCATTGCGTAATGCCGCTCCGAGCTGCAATACTTCCTGGCATCATCCAGGTCCCTTGTCGACACATCGATGCAGATAGGCGCCCATGCATTCCTCACGATGACGGTGTATGCCTGCGACGTACCCTCCGCTCCAAAAGGACACGTCATTCGCCACAGCCGAGATCGACTTTGCGCTGGCGGCACGCATCGCTTTGTCAGAGGGAGAAAGGGCACGTCAGGGTGACAGCAAGGCACCCGCATGCACAACACATCACAGGCATCATCACAAGCAGAAGTAACAGCAGCGCTGGTGGCTGCGGGGTGACGTGGATCAACTGACGCATGGCAGGCGTATACAAACCTAGTGGCCCGACAAGAATACAAGAGGGTGACAATTTTGAAACAATGAAACAATATGAGAATATAAGAGAAGATTAAAGTGTCCGCCATCACAGCATGCCGCAGTTCAAAAGTAAAATTGGTGCACTCAATCACAAAATCAAAAAGGAAAGCAAAACAAAAAGCCGAAGCGTGGGACGACCAGCGCACACACTCTCATTACTCCCGTAAAGCAAAACACACACACAGGGGGAGAGAGAGAGAGGTCGCCCACTCAATGCAATAAAAACAAAACAGAAACAGTTACGGTGCTCCGCACATGCAGCCAGGCAGGACGGCAGCGGTGCGTGTCGTGCAAAAGAGAGCACCAACGGGTCTGCATGGGTGTGCATGCATATATACAATGGGCACATTATTGTGTGTGCCTCGTGGGGTGAGGTGAGGGCGAGAGTCCATGCAAGGGGACACACACACACAGAGAGAGAAGGACGAGTGTGTGTGCGGGCGGTGCACGGCTCTCTCCCCCACTCTCACGCGGCCACCACCGCAGCCGCAGCCGCACACGCAACAACAAGAAGAAGAAGCAAAAGAGGGGAGGTGGTGTGGGAGACCGCGGTGCTGCCGTCGCTGTCGCCAATCTTAGATGTATCATTCGTTTGAGCGGAGCCGAATGGTTTCTCTGTTTGTGGTGCAGTTTCATTTTCTGTAGGAGCATCGTTGGTATTACTGTCCTCGGGTTTTTCTTGTGGTTCTTTGCTCTTAGGCCGTTGAGCATCGCCCTCATCCTCACTCTCATTTTTCGGGGCGTCAATACCGCCACTTTTGGAGAATGATGATGCTGTTGTTTCCGCCGAACTGCCTGTATTTGCATTATTCATGAAATTCGGTGAGTCTGTGTCCTTACCGTGTTGCTCTGTCACATCACCCTCTGAGGACAGTGTCGGTGCTGCGTCTGGCGTATTGGTGGTCGTATTTGGTTTTATTTCCGTAACGGCTTTTTTCCCGTCCTCTCCAGCATTGACCGTACTTGGTCCCTGTAACACAGCAAGCTTTTCTTCTGAAATCTGATCCGTACCCTTCACCGTAACTGTTGAGTCTGATGTGGTGGGGGATTCTGGCTTTACTGTGGGTAATGATTCCTTACTTGCCTGATTGCTGAGCGGTGGAGTCCCTGCAGGCGTTTTTGTTTTTAAATCTACAAGTTTTTCTGAAGAATTATGCTTCTCAGTGGATTGCGAGACCTTGTGAAGCAGTGAAGCATCAGTCTCGGGGGCTGAGGGAGGCGGAGAAGCAACAGCAACGCGGGTATCAGGAGGCACCACATTCAAACGACCAAGTGTACTGTCAACAACTTTACTGCCACCGATAACTACACTTCCAACAGGACTGCCAGAAACAGAATCAGGGCCATCACCTGAAGGTGAATCCGGAACAGTGTCGGTTTCAGAATCCTCTTGCTCAGTCGAGGCCTCAGCAGCAAAGACAGAAAAGACAGAACGCAAAGCCGTCATGGGCACAGTTTTATTACATCCGCTCGGCGTGTAAGACCAATTCGTACCCAACACTCCCGACACCATGCAGCCTCCCCGTCCACTGTCCTCAACGCCACTCGCATAAACGCCGCTGGCTGCAATTCTAGAAGAACCGCACCACAGCACGCAGAGGACACACACCAGCAGCACACGGCCAGTCATCATCACCGCCATCACTCCTGTCACTTGCGCGTAGCCTTCAGCACAGACTAACAACACGTCAACGCAGAGTGAAAGGAGAGACAAGTCACATAACCACGCACCGTGACAAACGGCAGCAGACCAGCAACAGCAGCGCACACACCATTAAACAAATGAATCCGGTACAAATCTAAAACTCGCACATCGCCCTGCAAAAAAAAATTTAAAATGAAAAAAAGATATTATAGAAAAATACAAGACTGCGTTGTGTGCGTGCCTTGCATATGAGTGTGTCTGGGACGCGCTCAACGTGACGGATTTGGGAAGCAACGCGGAGCGCACAACAGGGCAGCGGAAGCAAACAAAGAAAAAAGACCATCATAATCACTCTTACTTCATACATCGATCCACAGTAGACGTACACATGTCCCCGTGGCTGAGTGCTGGCACGCACAGCCCACGCTCCCTTTCAGCCCACAGCGGTGTACGCCAGCGCGGATACTGCGAGCAGCAGCGGGGCACGCACCCACGCAGAGCTGCTGAGGCTGCCGTCAATTTCGCGAAGATGTGACGGTGCGCGGGTGGTCGTCGTTGTCTTATTTGGCATTTTTGTCTTCTGACGTGATGTCTTTGCCGTATGATTCTCAGCACCTTGTGGATATTCCTCCGCCTATTTATTTTGTGCATCTGACTTACCGGTCGCACCTTATGTGTGTCGACACTGCGTCGCCAAACCTGGTGACTCTGGATTATCGTTAGAAAAACGTAGTGGCTGTGGCGGAACTGGTGTGTGTCCAGTAATGGCAGTATCTGCTTCCTTTGGCAAAGAAGGTACTTGACTTCTCAAACCTTCCTCACAGTTTCTCCCACTCTCTGTCTGTAACGAATCAAGCGCATTTCCCGTAAAATCTGGTTTCCCTAACATATGGTTTAGATGACTTCTGTCATCATTATTATCGCCTCCTCACGCCGTCACGCACACGGAATTGCGGCAGCAGCACAATAGCGCAAGGACCAACACGGCGCACACCACACGAAGCCGCACCGTCACCATCGTCATCATCGCAGTCACAATCACCCGTAGTGGAGTCGCTGGTGTCAGTGAGCTGATCGGTGGTACAGAAGGAAAAGGAATGGAACAGGAGGGAGAGGGACGAGGCACAGCGGATACAGCGAGTGAGAGCAGACAACATGAGGAGAGGGCAGCAGGCCCAGCCGCACAGTTCACACACCACGAGACGGCATCCACGCAACGAAGGCACACAACGCCAGCAGCCACCCACCATGCAGGAGGAGAAGACATCCACCACCATCTCCCCCAGCTCATCGCCACAGCCCCAGGGAAACGGCAAAAACACCGCGGCCACCACACCAGCCACACGCGCAAGCGAACCCTCATCGATCCATGACGCGGCAACAAAATTTCCTGCCATCCCGCCCTCAATGGGACACGGAGCCCAACTCAACGCAGCCACACGCGGTGCATCACACCCGCAGGAAAAGAGACTCGGGGTGCGCGCTCCCTCTCCTCCCTTCTCCTCATGGCCACGGAAGAAGACAACAGCCGCCACACGCAACTGCCAGCATGCACTACAAAAGGAGCATTCATATCCACTGCAATGTGCATCTTGTGTGTGTGTGTGTGTGTGTGTGTGCCTGCAGACACACAAAGCAAAGAAGCAGAAAAGAGGGAGCAGAGTATGTGGAGGGACGCACAAAAATGTACAGCAGAGACGCATGGCGGAAACAACAAGAAGAGGACCGCTCAAACTCATGACTGCACTGCAGCCCAAGCAGCGGCAATCCACAAAAGATTTATTTAAAACAAAAAAAGAACATCCCCTTCGTCTTATGTAAACCCCATCACACAAAATAATTATAAATGAAAAAGAAATCGTCCATTACTGTTCCACACAAATTTAAAAATCGCCTGGCTGCCGTGTGGCCACACCAAACTGTCCGTATTTATTTTGCCCGAAAAGAAAATTAAAAAGATGGTTGCGTGTGTTTCAACCGTCCGACCCTCCATGTGTCCGCACATCGTTTATATTTCACGGGGTCATCCGCGTGTTGCTGCTCCCCTCAGCCCTCTCATCGGCGTGCGAGTGCGGCCCGCAGAGCACAGTCACTCGTGTGTGTGGGGACTGAGAGAAGCACGCAGACATGACGGGAGTCGCGTCACTCCATCGGGGAGTGAGCGCAGCAAAGAAAAAAATCATCAGGAGGGAGAGAAATGCTGGCGGGACTGCCAGCGCGTGAAATGAAAAGAAAAAAAAAGAAAATAAAAGAAAAACACGGCGGCAGGGTGTGGCTGTGTGTGTGGCGCTGCGGGTGTCTGCCCGCCCTGGCCGCAAGAAAACAAAACAAGAGGGAAGAAATGTGTGCGCCGCCCCACAGGCCCTCGTCGCACGCCCACACGTCACGGCTCCCTCAGCGCGCCGTTCGTCGCGGCCCCTCCTCATGCGTGCAGCAGGCGAGGCGCACAGGGCCGTCGTCATGAGCGCGTCGGTGGTGTGCGAGTGGAGCAGTTGGGCGGAACACACGGCACCCCTCACAGGAAGAGTGCAGCAACAAACAATTAAAGAGGGAAGAGTAGAAAAGAAAAAAACACTTCCACAGTGATTGCCCCCCAAAAGCAAAAAAGCAAAGAAGGATTGGGAATTGGGAAGTAAAAGATAAAGAAAAAAAAAATTAAATTAATTTAGAAATAAAAAGAAGTAAAAAACAAAAAAATTGGAAAAAGACACATAAAAAAACAACAAATAAACAAAAAATTAAAAACATACAAAAAAGCAAACAGGGAGAAAAATAAATAAAAGTTATTTTTGAAGAGATATTCATTGCCAGGTGTGTGTGTGTGTCAGGCAGCGGGAGTCGCAATTGTCCCACGCGGCAGCCAGTCACTCCTCACAGAGCCGCAAACCCCCACAGTCCCAGCAGAAGAAGCGATGGCAGCAGTCCGCTTCCACGCATGGTGCCAGCGTCGCTGTTATTCCCCTGCGACACATTTCCGAGACTGCTGCTGAGCGCCGTGGCATTTAATTCCCCGTCCTGTGGATGGATCTCTTCCTCCTCCTGTCCATTCGTTCCTTTCACCGTCTCCCCATTCTCACCAGAGCTCACGCCCGCCTCAGGATTCACTGTGGGTCCATATTGCCCCTCGCCCTCAGTGGTGGGAGTATTTGCATCTGCTGTGTCGGAGATACCCACAGGAATTTGCGGTGATCCATTTCCCTGCTTCGTGTCTCCACCCACTGTCCCCACCGCCGGGTTACCATTAGACGAGGAATCGACATTCACATTTTTATTTACATCGTGAGATCCTCCCGACGCCAACTGCTCTGCAGATTGACTCCCCACTGAGTGAGTCGTCATGGTGGTCTTTGCAGAATTGGATGCACCACCACCACCCGCATCATTACTTATCTTCAACAATTTCTCTTCGGTGTCCTGATGCCCGCCATGAATAGTTGAGGAGACGGCTCCCAGCGTATGTGGTTCAGTTCCAGCTGGTGGAGGAGCATCCCTCGCCTCTGTTTTTAGATCCTCCAGCTTTGGAATAGATAATTGGTTTGTGTTAAGCGCAGTAATCTCTTCGGAAGTCAACGGACGGTTGTACAGCAGGACGTTCGTCACGGTCACGGATACGTCTTCTCCGTTCCCTGTGCTCACTGCACTCTTTCCATCCCCTCCAATGTAGAAGTGCGAGATTACTTTCGAATCAGTATTTCCCAGTGCACATGGCACATCCTCACCCACACGCTTACCATCAACGTACGCGGAGCTCTGGTTGCCATTCCTTAACAAAATTACCACGTGGTCTTTCTTCTTTGTCTCCGGATCCCAAGTGCTGCTGTGTTTCTTATGGGTTTCGCCACCGCACAGCAATATCCATTTCTTTTCTCTGTCGTACGACAACTCCATAAGTTTTTTTTCTCCTTCACCGTCCAGACGCACACCCAACAATGGAATATTACCCTCCTTCGGCTCACCGTCGATGGACACCGTCGCCACAAGAGTGAAGTTGTAGTTCGCAAAGTGGTACAGCTGATTATCCCCTTGCTTGCCAACGGGCCACTCCGCTCCTGCGCTACGCCCTTTGAACTTCACGCCAGTTTCTACCTGCTCCACCCCTTCATTATCTAATGTGGCGTTCACCCCGAGGTACTCGTCCCTCCATGTCTTATCAGAGAAGTTGCCGGACAAAAAGCCAACCAGCCCATCCGTGATCTTAATATCAGCACTGCAGGCAGTGCCAGGTAAGGTATCCCTCCCAACACTCTCAGAGGTGCACAGCTGGGAGACACGTTCGTCCGCTTTCTTCCACGTCGCCAGCACCTCCTTCACCTTCTCCAGCTGCTCAGTCAGAAGCACAGAGGCCATACCGGATGATGTTTCCTCAACGCCCTTCTTCTTCTCGTACAGTGCAATCAGCTCATCCTTCTTACCTCCATTTCCACCACTTTTGTACAACAGGGAGCTGGCGGTAACTTCGTCATCATCCTTCCCGGATACCGGCCCAATATCAACAATGTGCGTGTTGTCCGTCAGCCAAAGATGGAGTTCACCCTTTTCTTCTTTTTCTCCCTTGGAATACACCGGCAGAATGACGAGCATCACTTTTTTCTTATCAATCGTCGCTGTGGTGAACCCGCTCCCAACGAGTTCAACCTTTACACCCTTTTTGTTGCCCCACACGCGCGAGAGTGTCCCGAGTGCCTCCGTCCACGAATCCCCCTTGTCACCGGACTCGTACACCCTGCGGCGGCCATCATCACACGCAGTCATCATCATGAGTTTGTCCTTCTCCCACTCCACGACGGAGGGAACACCGCAGCCATCGGCAGACATCCCCTTCGACAGCTTCCAACTCGCAATATCCTTCACGGAGTGAATGATTAGCGAAACAGTCGTTGTCTTTCCATCCTCTGCAGCGCCATTCAACTTCTTTGTTCCTTCCAGCGGGAACACAAGCGTACCGTCCTCCATCTGAACACCCGATCCTCCGCTGCCAACCAGCCGCATCAAAGGTTCATTTTGTTTGACTTTATAACTCCACGGGAGACCGTAAGTGTCACTCCAATAAATTCTTTTTTTACTGTCAACAGTACTGACGTTCCCTTTCACCAGCATGAGTCCCCAGCCACCTGCCTGATCATCGGCGGTAAGTGTCCAGCTGTAACTTCCAGCAAGCATGTAAATATCACTTCCCTTCACAACTGTTGTTGGCCGGCTCACATGTACTGTTGTCTGGCTTCGGGAACCACCTTCCTTAGCAGCGTTTTGGGAGGGGCAATTGCCACCCTCAAAAGTGCATTCCTCCAGTACTTCTGTCTTCAGTTTATTTTTACCCAACTCCTCTTTTCGGTTTTGGCCAGTCAACTCCAAAACCTCCGAGGCAATCCCAGTAAAGCTGCCTTCACCAGTATCTTTTTTTCCCGTGCAATGCGCCTCGGCAACGGCAAACACATCACCATTCATTTCAACAAGACTCGGAACACGGAGCAAACTCACCTTTTCTTCTTCATTCTTACCTCTCCAATTAAAATATGTCTTTGGTGGAGGTATCTGTACTGGCGACTTCTCCTTACTGGATGCACTCCCTGTGCCGCAGCACATCATCACGAGGAAGAGGAGCAGCACCGCGGAGTAGAAGAGATGCCGGGACATGTTGGGCCTCTGCGGCCCACTCTCTCCTCCTTCCCTCCTCCTGCCGCTGGATCCGGTCACGCGGCGACGGTTGTGTGTGCGGGGTGCCTTCACTGCAGCAACACGTGAGAGCATATAAATATGTGTGTGTGGGCGGTGTGTGTGCTGTTGGTCCTTTCAGTGCCTTCGAATTTCACCGTAGATTTTAGCGCTTGTTTGTTTTCTTCGTGTGTGATTGAGGGAGAAATAGAGAGAAATATGCCAAGAAAAGAGGATGAAACAGTGAGCACCGCCACCCATCCACAGTGAGTGGCATCATCATAATCCGTACCGCAGTCACTCCAAACAACAACAACTCACGCACACAGACACACGGAACAGGAGATGGAAGAACAGTGCACCGGGAACACACAGCGACGGTCACCACCAGAAGAAGCAGCAGGAGCCACGGCGGGAGTGACGTTATTCGTCACGCTTCAGCAGACACTGAACAACGTCCACACACAAAGCAACCAGCGGGAGGCAAAAGGGCACAGCCGCACATCACAGCACTCATGCGCTGCCGCCAGTCATTTGGCTGCTGTCTCCTCCAATGCACACGCACATCATTCCACACAGCCGGAGAATCCCTCGTCGACAAAACCACGACGGGAGAGACACGTCGGTAGGTACAGCTGTTCGAAGAGAGTTGATATACACTCGTCCCAGGCATCCTCAACGCCACACCATTCAATGACTGCACGCCGCCAAAATAACAGCCGCATCACGTCAACGAGGCAAATCGCGGGCTCACGACCTCCTTCCTCGCAAAAGCAATCGCAGACAAAATATTGTGCGTGCGTGCGTTCTCAGCGTTTTAAACACGGCATGTGTGTGCATGTGCTTGTGTGTTTGTCAGCGCCCATACTTGCAGAGCAGCTGTGCGCCACAAGAGAGTCTGAAGAAAGCAACGGCAGAGAGAGGCAGATAGCACACACGCAAATTACTCATATCATCCCACACACACACACACACGCAGCCGCGGAATGGGTGCACTCAACCACAAAATCAAAAAGGAAAACAAAACAAAAAGCCGAAGCGTGGGACGACCAGCGCACACACACTCTCATTACTCCCGTAAAGCAAAACACACACACAGAGGGAGAGAGAGAGAGGTCGCCCACTCAATGCAATAAAAACAAAACAGAAACAGTTACGGTGCTCCGCCCACGCAGCCAGGCAGGACGGCAGCGGTGCGTGTCGTGCAAAAGAGAGCACCAACGGGCCTGCATGGGTGTGCATGCATATATACAATGGGCACATTATGTGTGTGCCTCGTGGGGTGAGGTGAGGGCGAGAGTCCATGCAAGGGGACACACACAGAGAGAGAGAGAAGGAAGAGTGTGTGTGCGGGCGGTGCACGGCTCTCTCTCCCCCACTCTCACGCGGCCACCACCGCAGCAGCAGCCGCACACGCAACAACAAGAAGAAGCAAAAGAGGGGAGGTGGTGTGGGAGACCGCGGTGCTGCCGTCACTGTCGCCAGTTGGAGTCGTTTCATTTATCATAGCGGCAGATCTGAGTGGTGTTGTTTCCTTCGTATTGGCATCTTTATTTTCACCTTGGTGTGCTCCTTCTGTCGCTGCACCACCAGCGGCTGAATCATTATTCAAAATCTCTTCATTAGTATCCGTGTCAGCGTCATCGTTGGAAGCATTACTGGCACCTGAGTTTGATGGTGGTGTCGATTCGGCATGGCTGTTCGATGGGTCACTCTCTTGGTTGCCGGTGGTGGATG